GTGGTCATGTCACACCATCATGTCTTTGTAACTTGTCCGCGTGTTTGTCTGTGTTGCTGTACACAGAGTGGGAGTGAGAGTCAGATGAACAGACAGGAGAGGCGGGCAGCCACAGCCACAACCACTTGCTTGGCGTGTGCGTGTGTGCACTGTGCATATCGTTGGGTGACGAGAATGAAACCATATTAGGTCAGACAACACACGTGACAGCGAAGGTCAACAAAGAAGGAAGGACAGTAACACACACCAGCAACAACAACACCATTCAACAAACCACAACACAACACAAAGCAGCAGCAGCAGTGGACAGCAGAGCATCATGGTGAGGAGGCGAGTTGGTAAGGGGCAGCAGCAGCCATCGGCGGCAGCGAGGAGGCCAGTGGCGGCTGGCGGACATGGCGGACATGGCGGCGGTCGCAGCCCGGCGCAGGTGGGCATGCTGCTGCTCGCTGCCGTGCTGGGGCTCGCTGGCGTGGCTGGCCTGGTACTGTATTGGATGGGACCGCACGTGCAGCTGCTCGATGCCAGCGACCAGTCGCAGATGCAGCGCGTCTTCCTGTCTGGCGAGCCGTGGATGGTCTACTGCAGCTCCAAGCGAGGTGCGACACTGCACGTGCTGCATTGTGTTGTGCTGTGTTGTGTTGTGTTGTGTTGTGTTGTGTTGTGTTGTGTTGTGTTGTGTTGTGTTGTGTTGTGTTGTGTTGTGTTGTGTTGTGTTGTGTTGTGTTGTGTTGTGTTGTGTTGTGTTGTGTTGTGTTGTGTTGTGTTGTGTTGTGTTGTGTTGTGTTGTGTTGTGTGTTGTGTGTATGTGTGTGTGTGTGTGTGCTTGCCTACCTGCTTGTTATCATCGTCAACCCACGCACGCAACGCACGCAACGCACCCAACACACGCAACGCACGCTTCTTGTCCACACGCATGTCAATTCGTGTGCTTGCAGCACCCGAGCCACCAAAAGAGTTCACGGACGCCATGAAGTCACTCTCGAAGCGCGGTGTCAGCTTTGGACAACTCAACTGCGGGAGCAAGCTGCCGTCTGGGAAGACAGTGGCATCAAGGTACGTGCACAGAAGAAGTGTTTGCATAGGCAGCCAACTGTGTGCTCGCGAGCGAGCTATCGATAACACGCGTTCACACACACACACACATGCACACACACACACACACACACACACACATGCACAGGTTTGGGATTGATCTGAAGAGCAAGCCCGTCATTGTGGCAACTGGCAACGGGAAGAAGGCAAAGCAGGTGCCACGCACGTACACCAAGGTGAGCACTCCATGTTCACCACCGCGGCGCGTGCTCTTCACCTGTTCAATTGGCGTCTTGTCTTGGACATCACCACCACCACAGCTCACCCATCCCGATCACCAATGCGTGTTCGGCATTGCCGTATGCAGACGGGCACTGGACTCATCTCCTTTGTGGACTCGTTTACTCGGGTAAGCTCAACGCTGTAGTGCCTCGGATACGCACGTGTGTGTGTGTGTGTGCGTGCGTGTGCGTGCATGCATGTATGCACGTGTGTGTGTGTGTGTGTGTGTGTGTGTGTGTGTCGCTCCGTTACCCTGTTTTCTGTCTCCATCTCTCTCCAAGCTTCTTCCGTGCGTACACTTACACGCTCTTGTGCTGTCGCACCGCACCACAGCTGAGGTTGTACGAGCCGCGCACGAGTCAAAAGTTCCAGGAGCAGTGCACACGGTAGGGACTGAGCAATGCTTGCGTGATTGCTTGCAGGCAAACCCCATCCCCTGGCTTCAGGCCACATCCCACCACAAGCACACACACACACACACACACACACACACACACACACACACACACACACACACACACACACACAACACACACACACACACACACACATTCTTCACCTTGCGTGTTGGCGACTGTAGGAAGAAGGCATGTGTCATTGTCGCCCACAAAGGACCACTGGACACATCAACGACTACAGAATTGTACAAAGCCATGGAGCAGGTGCGTTGATGCGTGTGTCTCTGTGTGGGTGTGTTGTGGTGTGGTGAACGTATGCATATTTGTGCGTGTTGCGATGTGCCCACCATGTCATGACATGGCAAGTGTCTCATGATGCATCTTCATCCCTACTCTTTGCCCCACATACACAGCACCGCACGGTCTCGTTTGTATCCATCGACACGTCCAAATCCCGCCTCCATCTTGGTGAGTGTTCATTTGGCGCATAAACTTACTGCATGTGTGTGTGTGTGTGCGTATGTGTGTGTGCGTGTGTGTGTGTGTGTGTCTGTGTGTGTGTGTGTGTGCGTGCGTGTGTGTGTGTCTGTGTGTGTCTGTGTGTCACATACAACTCTCCCCGACTCACACCACCACCATCACCACCACCACCACAGGCGTTGCGGAGAGCCGGGCTGCGAACATTGAGAAAAGCGAAACGCCCACCATCTTCGTTGTGCGCAAACGAAACGCAACAAGCAACAAGGTACTATCATAGGCACCAATGTTCACGATGAACATGCCTTATATGGTGGCGGTGTTGTTGTGACTGAACCCGACTGTGGTTGATGGTATGGATTGCTGTGATGACTGTACTGGCTGTGGTGACAATGAAATATATTGCGTGTTGTGTTTTATGCGTTGAAAGTCGCTGGATTTCGTGTCTTCCACTCGTCAACACAGCACCATTGATCCATGTCATCATGTACCCCTCCCCCCCCCCGGATCTCTCACAACATCACCACCACGTGTGTGCTGCTGTTGGTTTGTACAGTTTGGCGTGTCTGTTTATGGCGGGTCGATCAACGCAATGCAGCTGGCAGACCACATCCACGAGGTTGGAGGCAGCAATGGGTGTGGATGCATGACACGTGCAAGTGCAAGCGAAGTGGAAGTGGATATGGATGCAAGGCGCACGCGCGTGCAGGGGCACACGTGCACACGCGCGCACATGCAACCACACCTGTCCCCCCCCCCATACACACAAGTGCACAAGTGCACAAGTGCATAAGTAGACACCCACATGTCCACCTCACATCCATCCCCCTCCCCCACCCAAACTGCTGCTTTCCGTCGCCATCAACACCAGGTGCTCGAGAACGATGCGCTGCTCAAGTGGTCGTCTGTTCGTCCGGACATTCGCTCATCATCATCATCATCATCATCGTCATCATCACGGAGACAGCGCCGGAAGCAGCCCAGCAACGATGAAGACAGCAGCGGCAGCACGGGCGGAACACGCGCGGACAGCCAGCAGCATCCGGGCACTGGCAGTGGCGATCAAGACGATAGCAGTGGTGGTGATGGTGGTGGTGGTGGTGGTGTGCCGATGACAGCGGAGGAGCGAAGACGCGAGCGGGAGCGAAGACGACGCGAACAAATGGACCGCGAAGCCATGGAGCTTATCCAGGTACACACACACACACACACACACACACACACACACATGGCCTTGCTCATGCAGTGGTGCAGTGGTAGTGGTGGTTATGGTGGTTATGGTGGTGGTAGGGAGAGCGCTCTCGATTACTGGTGGCTCTGTCTGTTTGCTCTCAACTTCACCTTCATCTCGACGTCTGCGGCTGCTCCGCTCACGCCCGCCATCCACCATCCACTGATCACGGCAAACAGGAGATCGATGGTGATGACGAGGATGAGAAAGACGACGACGACGACGATGTTACCGCGTATGTTGACGACGCTGAGGGTGTCGAACTTGGAGAGGAGTCCATTGTTGGTGACGACGATGAAGACGAAGGTGACTACGACGAGGACCATGACGTTGATGGTGGGGTGGAGGAGATCGACGAGGAAGACGACGACGATGTTGTTGAGTTGGAGGAAGACGATGAGGAGGAGTGAAAAGGGTTACCGAACTCGACTAGTGCTTGCTGCTTCGTTTCAGTGTGCTTGTGCGCCTCGTTTGACACATTAAACACCCCAAGAAAAAGGCGGCCCTCAAAGTCATGGTGCGAGCTTGTCCAGATTGATGTCACCGTGATTGCAGTCAACATCTGTGAACCAGAAACAGAGAGGTAAACCTTGTCGTGTGAGTTGCTCGCATCATCAGCGTCCATGTCAACACAATACATCCACGGGAGATGCATACATGTGAATCAGCAACGCGATTCCCGCACGAGGTCCACGCAACACAACAAAGCACACACACACACACACACACACACACACACACACACACACACACACACACACACACGCACACGCACACACACACACACACGCACGCACACACACACACACACACCGCACCTGGAGGGCAAATGACGTCCAAGACCTTCTGGCGAGCTGACTCGTGAGATGCGTTCGAAATGCCACGCCAAGGGTCGAGGACATACCACTGAAGCGGAAGGAAGATGGCAAAGAAGATGACCAACAACACCACGCCCCGCACAATCTCCACAGTCCATGTGGAACCCTTTTGTTGCTGTTGTTGATGCGCAGCTTGCCGCCTCGTCGTGGCCTCGCGTTCGCGGTCTCCGCCCTCTTGCAGTTGCCGTTGCTGTTGTTTGTCGTCACCCTGTTCCTGTTTCTCTTGCCTCTTGGGCTGATCCCTCCTCACACCGCCTTGCCCACCATCACCTTCGTCGCCAGCAGCCCCGTTCTCGCCGGGTCTCGTTCGTCGCCTCAGCATCTTCCTCCTTGTTGCTTGGCAGTCAGCAACGTCCTTTGTGTGACGATTGTTTGTGGAAAATATTCACAAATATTCAGGACTTTGCGCCACCCACGTTGACCCAAGAGCGCACACACACTTGCACACTCGCACGCACACTCACGCACATCCAACCAGCAAGCAAGCAAGCAAGCGAGCAGCCATGGCGGAGAAGAGAAGTGTGACGGAGGAGGATGTGGAAGAGATGCTGCTGTGCGCCCGATACGGCGAGGTGGACGAGATGAAGGAGCTCATCGAGCTGGGCGTGCCAGTGGACAGCAAAGACGGCATGGGCAACACCGGTGCGTGGTGTGCGTGGTGAGATGCTGTATGAGTGTCAGAGATGCTGCATGAGAGTGCGTGATATTGTGTGGATGTAGTGCTCATGCTGTGTCTCTTGCGTCTCTCGCATATGCCACGGGCTTCTCACTGAGACTCACAACCCAACCACACACACACACACACTCGCACACTCGCACACACACACACACACACACACACTCGCACACACACACACACACACACACGCACACTTGTGGACAGCGCTGCACTATGCTGCGGCGAATGGCTTGATGGATTGCGCGGAATACTTGGTGAAGAAGAAGTGTCCTTACCTTCCCAACAACAGCGGCAACCTTCCGCTGCACTGGGCCATCCAAAACAAGGCTGCAGATGTCGTCCAGCTTCTCATGAAGTCGTACCCGGAAGTGAACGTGCTGCAAACCAACGAGTTTGGTGCGTCGTTCCATCTCGCTGTCTCGCCTTCCTCACGACATTGCCTCGAGAAGAATATCGCCCATGTGTCTGCTTGCTCTAAATCACCTGCCTTGGGCCAGTTGCACTGGCGGATGTTCATTTTCTTTGCCTTGCTCGTCATTGACGTCATGTTCATGGTGCACATGATGTTCGTCTTATGTATCGTGGTCGTTTGCCTTGTCGTGGACTTCTTCACCGTTGATTGTTCACTGTCCCCCGTACTGCCCACTCGAACGTTGCTGTGCAATCTCACAATCTCACAATCTCACAATCTCACAATCTCACTGACATCCACTGTCTTGCAGGCAAGAGCGCTGTGACGGAAGCGTTCAATGCGCAGGACCAGCAGATTCTGAAGTTGGTGCTGGAGCACCCGAGCGCAGCTGCACTCGAGGAGGAGGGCAAGGACGGCAGCAGTGGTAAAGGTGGCAGTGGCAGTGGAGCAAAGAAAGGTACCGCCGCCAGCAAGAAGAAGCCACAGCAAAAGGGGAAGAAGCAGAAGCAGGACGCGTCCAAGAAGAAGGAAGACGATGCCACAGCCACAGCCAGCACGGCACAACAGGACAAGGCAACATCAGACGCATCAGACAGCAAGAGCACCGCCGGCCGCGATGACACTGCGGAATCAAGTCAAGTGCTGCAGACACACACGCACGACATGAGGTTTTCACCAGACGGACCCGAGGTGCACGTGCGCGAAATTGCAACCGATTGGTTCGGCAAGGTGCGCCTTACCTGGTGTCGTGGTGATGTGTGTGTGTGTGTATGTATGTGTGTGTGTATGTGTGTATGTTTGTGTGTGCTGGTGCAATGCTTGCCAGCAGTGACTGGTTGTGTCCCATATCATCATCACCATTATCACTCACCATTTCATCATCATCATCATCATCATCATCATCAGGTGTTCGGCGACATGCCAGAAGATGACACCACTGGCATTCAACTGTGGGCTGCGTCGCTCATCGCTGCTCGGTGCGTGTGTATGTGTGTATGTGTGTGCATGCACGTGAATGTATGGTGAAATGCCGTGCTCGCTAACGCGTATGTTTCAGTGGTCCTCCCATGACAACACACACACACACACACACACACACACACACACACACAGTCATACACACACACACACAGAACCACTTGCTTCGTATCTACCATCCCCCTGCTGTCACACGCGAACAACGCCAGCACCAACACATCACCTTTCAACTTTGATTCGTGCGTGCATGTATGCGTGTGCGTGCATGCTCATGTGTGCGTGTGTGTGCACGTGTATTCATATATGTGTGTGTGCAGGTGGGTGGTTGACGTTGCTGCGCGTCTTGATGGTGCGCGTGTGCTTGAGCTCGGTGCCGGCTGCGGTCTGCCGGGTCTCGCTGCCCTCGCATACACTCATGCAAAGCAGGTGCGCACGCTCGTGTGTGTGCGTGTGTCTGTGTGTGTGTGTATGTGTGTGTATGTGTGTATGTGTGTGTGTGTATGTGTGTGTGTATGTGTGTCTGTGTGTGTGTGTGTGTATGTGTGTGTGTGTGTGTGTGTGTGTTAGTGCTTGTATCGCTGTGCGTCCATGCGGTATTGCGACCTTTCTTCCCCCCCCCTGTGTCCACCTCCAGTGTCCTCATGTGGAACCTCGGCCCACTGTGCTGCGATGGTTCACACCTCCAGGTTGTCATCACAGACTACTTTTCCCACACCGTCGACAACATCAAGTGAGACCAGCACTCCGGTTTATGCCAACCACACACACACACACACACACACACACACACACACACACACACACACACACACACACACACACACACACACACACACACACACACATACACGCGTAACTTTGGGCTCACTGCTTGTTCTTCTGTCGTTTGTTCTCCCAGGCACAACCTCTCCATCAATGCTCACATCCCAACACTGACAGAGCGGGTACGCTGATGCTCATCATGGACATGACTCGGTGCCCTCCCCCCCCCCAAACCGAACACACACACACACACACATACACACAAAAACACACACACACACACACACACACACACACACACACACACACACACACACACACACACACACACACACACACACACACACAACACACACACACACACACATATCCTGGCTACACTCCTGCTGCTCACGTGTACGTTTTCGTTCACAACAGGGCCACGTGCACGCGCTGGATTGGAACAACGAGAACACGTGGCTGCACGAGAGCGTAAGTGAGCAATGCATGGACATGTGCCAACATGTGTGCACCAGCACACGTGTGCCTGGTTGAGCCTTGGTTTTTTTGTAACGACTCGCTCCCTCCCCCAGCACACACTTCCTCCGTCTGCAATCCATCCCCACCCGTTCCACCATTCTCTCGAGTCTCACCACCACCACCACCACCACCATGACAACGTGTATTTGCTTGGGTAGGATGGAAACCTGTGCCAGTTTGATGTGCTGCTTGGGTGCGATTTGGTTTACGACACGCCTCTTGTTGCGCCATTGTGCAATCTTGTTCGCCGCTGCCTGGCACCACATGGCACTTTCTTTTACGTCTCTGGCGGAAAACGGTTCGTGCATGCAAGCAGCCTTGTTTGTTTGTTTGTTTGTTTGTTTGTTTGTTTGTTTGTTTGTTTGTTTGTTTGTTTGTTTGTTTGTTTGTGTTTGTTTGCGACTGTCGTTGTGATCTCTTGCTCGTTACCTCTGCCGAAAACACTCACAGCTGCACCACCACCACATTCACCACCACATCCACCGCCAACAGCAAGGGCGCAAAGGAGTTCATCACAGCGCTGAGAGACTGCGGGCTCGAGTGCAAGATTGCGCCACTCAAGCCAGAATACAAAGCAAACCCACTGGTCCGTCTACGATGTTGTGCATGCGTGTGTGCACATGTGTATGTGTGTGTTTGAGTGTGTGTATGCTTTTTGCTCCCCCGCATTGTTCTTTCTGCCTGCATGCCTGCCTGCGTCCATGTGCCTCTGTCCTCGTGTCTCCCATCCCTCCACCCCCCCCCCCCTCTTCCCTCTCTCTCGCAATCAAAGCACACGTGCGCATCTCACATCATACCCACACCAACCCCCAACACCTCCCCATTCGATCTTGTTCAGGTGAGCGGGGACGAACAAGAACTGGAGTTGCACTTCAACGAACTGCACGAGAATGTGCAGGTGCTGTTTGAGTTCTCTTGGCCGAGCAAGACCGTGACGAACAACGATGGCGATGGTGGCGAGGATGGACGGACGGCCAGTGACGCTGATGCTGGTGATGATGATGATGATGATGATGATGAGAAGGAGGACAAGCGGGAAGATGTGACCAAGGATGACAGCACACAAGACATCGGCAAGGATAATGGCGACGCATGAGAACACACACACACACACAGCGATACAGCCATGCGGTGACATGCTGGCAATTGCGTTCACCGCCCATGACCAACTGCCCCCAAATAAAACTTTCTCGCTTCCATATCGCACGTTCGATTTTTTTTCCTTGCGTGAGTACAACGTTGCATTTGGTCATGTATTAGATGGAAAACAAGTGGTGTGCTACAGGCGGAAGAGTGTGACAGCAAGAAGAACAATACTGTCGCACTGCCAACGCATCACCCACAAATGGCAATGAAGCACCAATTGCAAGGCGAGAGAGGGAGAAAGAAGAAGGGGGGGGGAAGAGGGAAGAACAAAGGAACGATGCACACACCGCACAAGCAAGTGCATCAACGTGTAACTCGCAGCATGACAATGGTTGCAACACGGAGTGGCGAGTAAAATGAGCAGGCATACAACTTGGTCGAGCATACGCCCGCCTCACGCAGGTTCTATTACACCCACACACTCTACCATACACGTCGCCCACTCACGCACTCACTAATATTGGTTCTCACTAAACTCACGCGCATACGTTGACATCACACATATATGCTATTATCACCCGCCCACACACACACACACACACACACACACACACACACACACACACACACACACACACACACACACACACACATACGCACACACACACACACACATACGCACACATGCCCTTTCACGCACTTACACTCACGCACCCGCTATTCCGCCAACTCATTGCATCATGGAGGCTGGTCTCGTGTGCACGTCCACGTAGTCTGGATCGTCGTCCGTCACCTCCTCCGTGTGTCCACGATGCAGCACAACATAGCTGCTCGCCAGCATTGGTGCATTGCCCGCATCGCTTTCGTGACCGCTGCTGTTGTTGGCATTGGCTCCCTGCCACGTTGGGTCGTACACGAACGAAGGCTCCGTGTTTGTTTCCGACGGTCCGTTGTCGTTTTCAGACAGCACCTGCAAGTAGCCCACGCTCGTGCTGCTGTTGTGACGCGACGCAACAAATGACAGTGTCTGTGGCTCTGCCGTCCCCTGTTGCGGTGCTGATGATGACGATGATGATGATGGTGGCGGTGGTTGACTGTCGTTGGCAATGCGTGCACTCAAGCGAGGTGGAGCACCCACTCGAGGTGGCAGCTTTGGATTCTTGCGTCGCTGCCCACCCCTGCTGCCATGGTTCTTGTCGTGTGTGCGGGCAGGTGGCTCCACATACCCGCTCACCAGCCCACCGCGGCTGCCACTGGTGCCGGTGGTGGTGGTGGCATTTGCATTGGCATCTTCATTTGCATTTGTGGTGCTGGTCTGGTTTGCTCGCAGCTGCCGCCCTTCAAAGCGCGGCATTGCATATGTCGGGTTGATGCTGTAGCGGTTTGTCGCCTGTGACTCATCACCAGCATCCACGCTCCCATCGCCACCATCATCGCCACTGCTGTGCTGTTGTTTCTGTTTCCGTTCGCGGCGTGGCACATCGTATGGCGCGTGCACGGTGGGGACACAGTAGGCATCCTCATCCTCATGACCACCACCATCACTGCCATCAGTACCCTTCTTATTCTTCTTCGCGCGGCGTGGAACATCGTACGGCGCTTGCACGCTGGGAACACGATACATGTCAGCTTCCTGCTGCTGCTGCTTCTTGTTCTTGCCTTCCCCTCGTGGCAATTCGTACCCTGCATCTTGTGTTGGAACATGGTACACCCCATCTCCTGCGGCGTTGCCAGTCCTGTCGTTGACATCGTAGCATGTCGGGTTCCACGCGTGCGCTGGGTGTGGTGGTGGCGATGATGACGATGATGGTAGTGGTGCTGGGGACATGCCATCCTGTCCAGAGAACAGCGGGTTCTTGAAGAGGCCGCCTGATGCACAGTTGCAAAGCAGGGAGAGTGTGTGAGTGAGTAAGTGAGTGAGTGAGTAGGTGCGTGTGTGTGGTTGGTGTTGGTGGTGTCGAAGGCAGGAAAACCGTGAACGTGAGACGGTTGCAGAGGTACGACGTTTGCACTGATAACGTTCATGAAATAACAGTAACAGCAACTAAAACATGTATATTTGTATGCGCATTTGCGTACCGGTCTTGCCATCGCTTGAAGCAGCTGCGTTGCCATCCTGTGGTTGCGCGTCATACGGGTGGTATCAGAGCAGCGTGAGTCGCGAAAAAAAGGGGGTAAAGCGCTGTGAATGAGCAGTGCATCTGTTTACACTGACTCACCCAAACACACACGCACACACACACACACACACACACACACACACACACACACACACCACGCACATCACACCGCACACACACACACCACGCACATCACACCACACACACACACACACCACAGCACCCCCCCCCCCCCCTCTCTCTCTCTCGCAAACCCAACGCAAGGCACCAACAACAAGCGCACCGTGAAGGCAGCGTCGGCGGCGGCCTGGCGCCTGCGGCGAACAATAAAGACAACTGCGGCCGCAATGAAGACAACACCAATCACGCCGCCGACAATCGACACGGGGATTGCCATATCCACAGACGCACTCGTGCCGCTCTGCCCAACGCTGGGCTGAGGCGAGCACACGCGCACGCCGTCGCCAACAAACCCGGCACTGCACTCGCACGCAAATGAGCCAGCCGTGTTGGTGCACGTGGCGTTGGCATGGCACAGCTCGGCTGCGTTGCTGGCTGCACACTCGTCCACATCGGCACATGTCAAGCCGTCACCAACAAAGCCGTCCCTGCATGTGCACGTGTACCCGCCATCCGTGTTGGTGCACCGTGCGTTGGGGTCACACTCGTGCGTCTCCTGGCGACACTCGTCCACGTCCACGCAGGCAATGCCCGTACCGGCAAACCCGTCCACACATGTACACAGGAAACTGCCTGGTGTGTTGGTGCACGTGGCGTTTGCATCGCATGGCGCTGTGCCCTCCACACACTCGTCCACGTCCGCACACGCCGTGCCATTGCCGCGGAATCCTGAGTTGCACACACACCGGAACGACCCATCGCTGTTGAAGCAGGTGGCGTCTGCGGCGCAGTTGTGAGTGCCGAGCGCACACTCATCGACGTCGTCGCACACGGCAATGCCGTCACCTGCATACCCGCGCTCACACGTGCACACGAAGCTGCCGTCCGTGTTGGTGCAGGCTGCATGTGCGTGGCACGGCGCAGTGTTGTACAGGCACTCATTTCTGTCCTCGCACTCAAAGCCGTCACCACGGTAGCCCGTCTGACACGCACACGTGTAGCTGCCGATTGTGTTGGTGCACACTGCATTCACGTCGCAGTCGTGCGTTCCTTCCATGCACTCGTCCACGTCGTCGCACACGAGCCCGCTGCCTGTGAAGCCGCTGTTGCACGCGCACGTGTAGCTACCCACTGTGTTGGTGCACGTTGCGTTGACAGCACACCTTGCAGTGCCATCGACACACTCATCTTCGTCCCGGCACAAAACGCCATCACCTTCGTACCCTTCGACACAGGCGCAGGTATAGCTGCCGATCGTGTTGGTGCAGGCTGCATTCACGTCGCAGTCGTGCGTCCCTTCCATGCACTCGTCCACGTCTTCGCACGTGAAACCGCTGCCTGTGAAGCCGCTGTTGCACGCACAGGTGTAGCTGCCCACTGAGTTGGTGCACGTTGCCTCTTCATGACAGGAGTGGGTGCCATCCGCACACTCATCTTCATCGTGGCACGAACGGCCATCACCTTCATACCCTTCAACACAGGCGCAGGTGTAGCTGCCGATCGTGTTGGTGCAGGCTGCATTCACGTCACACCCGTGCGTTGCCTGCACGCACTCGTCCACATCGTCACAGGTGAAGCCATCGCCTTCATAGCCGTCATTGCATGCACAGGTGTAGCTGCCCGCCGTGTTGGTGCAGGCTGCATTCATGTCGCACGAGTGCGTGCCATCAAAGCACTCGTTGTCGTCCACGCACACACCACCGCTCTTGACGTAACCGGGGTCGCAGTCGAGCTGGCAGCGCGGTGGCTGTGCTGACCACGCCGTGTCTGCATCACACTCCGCTGTCGAAGCACCAATGCGCACATATCCATCCAGGCACGCAAAGGTGGCGGTTGCCGGGTAGCGGGGATTGAAGCTGCGTGGCGTGAAGGTGACGGTGCCATTGGCAGGTGCTGAGAGAGGCTGGCACAGCTTGCCCCTGCACGTTGCATCCACGCCATCAAACTCGCCCTTGTCGGCCTGGCACTGTCGTGTTGCCGCACCGACCACCTCGTAGCCCTCCGTGCACGTGTACGTTGCCGTGGACGGGTAGCGGCGTGCGTTGCTGTACGTCACACGGCCGTTCTCTGGGGTAGTTACCTTCGTACACAGGCGACCAATGCACGTCGGCGCAGCTGTGGCCCACGTCCCTTCCTCCTTGCACTGCACCGTTGCCGGCCCCATGAGCACATACCCCGTGTCGCAGGAGAACGAGGCAGCAGCAGGGTAGCGGAGCGTGTTGGCAGCAGCACCCCCACTGCCATGGGTGGGGGGCGGCAGGGCTGGGCACGTGGGGCGCAGGCACTTGGGCGTCTCGCCCACAAACACATGCGTTGTTGCGCTGCACGTGTGTTCGGCGTCCCCATCCTCAAGCACATAGCCGCTGTTGCACGTGAACGTTGCCGTGGACGGATAGCGGCGGCCGTTGCTGTACGACACGGCGCCATTCTCAGGGGGCGTGACCGGCGAGCAATAGAGGGGCTGACAGGATGGAGGGTCCGGAAAGCTCCACGTGCCGTCGGCCTGACAGGACTGCGTGGCACCGCCTTGCAACACATATCCCACATGGCACGACAGGCCTAATGGATGGTGGTTGAAAGGCGGAGACGGGGGGGGGTGAACAAGGAAAAGAACAGTTGTGATGGTGGTGATGGTGGTGATGGTGGTGAGCTGAAAGGGATGGAAGGGAGGATTGGATCCTGCAACACGGGGCAAACATCAAACAACACAGCACGAACACACACAGCACTGACACACACAGCACGAGCACACACACACAGAGCATAAGCACGCCATACACACGCACACAGAGCATACGCACGCCATACACACGCGAAAGAATAACGCACTGGCTGAGTCTGGGTAGCGAATGGTGCCGGACGGCGAGACGTCGCCGTTGGTGAGGGAAATGGGCGGACACGCAACGCCAACACACTCTGGCAGCGTGCCACTCCATGAACCATCGGTGGCGCAGCTGAGCGAGTTGCGGTTGGCGTTCTTCAGCTCGTATCCCGCGCCACACGTGTACGTCGCAGTGCTCTGATACCGCCGACCGTTGGTCACGTGAACGGTGGCGTGGGCCACTGTTGGCGCTGCGTCGCACAGGATGCCACGACAGCTCCCGGAGGACGAACCGCCACAGTAGACACGCTCGTACCCGCTGCTGCACGCCTGGCAGTCGAAGCATTGGTACGTGGAGTAGGTGTGGCGCCAGGTGCTGGTGGTTTGGGGGGGGGGATGGTTGGTTGGGTGGTTGGTGAGGAGGTGGTGTGAGCCGTTGGATGACGCGATACGCAATGCAGTGCACATCAGCAAACCACGTCATACAAAGAAAGCTCACAGACACCAGAGACACGCACAAGTACATGGGCTCATGCACACACACACACGCGCGCGCGCACACACACGCACACACGCACACACACACACACACACACACACACACACACACACACACACACACACACACACACACACATACACACACACACACACACAAACTCAGACAAAACACACACTGAAACCCGCAAACACACAACCCCCCCCCCACACACACACACACAGAATCTCTCTTACCCTTCTGGGCAGGGCTCGCAGGTGCCACCGCTGGTGCCAGTGCAGCCCTCTCGCTGGTATCCAGCGGGACATGGCTGGCAGTCCTTGCACGTGCCAGGGCTGGTGCCAATGCAGCCATCGCGGAACTGGCCAGGCGGGCAATACCCACACGTGACGCAGAACCCAATGCTGAAACCACCACAGTTGTAGCGGTACCGGCCTGCTTGACAGCCGTAACAGGGACGACAATTGCCTTCCTCGCCTTGCCGACATCCTACCCTGTACTCGTCTTTCTCGCACGTGCCGCAGTCAACACACGGCGTGAGCGCTGTGCCACGGCTGCAGCCAGCCCTATACTGGTGCTCCTCTGGGCAGTCGTCACACCGCATGCAGTTGTTCGAGTTGTATTCTGTGGAGTAGTAGTTGTCGGCGCAGTTGTAGCACGTCGTGCCAGAGCCATGGTACCCCGGGTTGCACTTGCAGTCCTCATCGCATGAGCCCGTGCACGTGGTTGAGCAGATGTCACAGCTGTCGCCGTCACATCCGGAACACATCATGCTGGAAGCGATTACATGCGCCACCACACGTGCATCAACGGTGTGGTGATGGGGTGGGTTAAAGGGGGTGGGGAAATGCATGTCACAGCACATGCAGTCGTGTGAGTCTCAGAAACAAAGTGACGACACGGTTGCGTGTGTGTGTGTGTGTGTTTGTGTGTGTGTGTGTGTGTGTGTGTGTGTGTGTGTGTGTGTGTGTGTGTGCTCTTTTATGAATATGCACACATGTTCTTGCATGATGTGCGCACGTTCGTCGAGTACTTACACGCAATCGGTGTTGCAGCCGTCAAAGCAGGTGTATGAGCCGTGGTCTGTTGACCGACGGGAGCGCTGATGCACCTGCATCACACGTGCAGTGGAAGGGCGATGGGATGTGTATGTTGTGCATCGTGCATCGTGCATGTGGTGTGGAGGAGGACATGTGAGATGCGTGTGTGAGATGCGTGTGTGAGGTGTGAGGTGTGGTGTGATGAACAACACTGAGAGCAAGCCCTCCACGCGCTCACCCATGCATCCGCACACGCTCACCCACACCTAATCTGCCGTTTGGCATCCACAACCCGCACTCAACCCCATCAACACATGCACACGAACCTCCGTTGCTCCTGCTGCCAATTCGTCCTCCGATCTTTGCTGCGTGGACAGCGTGGTCGCCGTCACGTCGTCTGGCATGCGACCGTGTGCGCAGAACTGATGCAGGACAGCATGTGCACTGTCGACGCTGCACACGCGCGAGACACGCGACTCAATCGTTGACGGGTCCGCATACGCAGTCATATCACCGGCACTCTCGTACGCGTTGAGCACAAAGGGCAGCAAACCCTCACACAGCGATTGGAACGTGCGCACAAATGCATCCACCTCACCACCACCGCCACTACCGCCACCGGCGGCGCTGTCACTGCTGTCAGGTGCTGCATGCTCATCTTCAAGAACGCTACACATGCCATCACCACCACCATCACCCCCACCATCACCACCACCACGCTTGAGCTGCCAGGATGGCATGGCCTGGAGATAGGAGACGCCCTCGTGATCGCGGCCAATGACGGCGGTTATGGCTTCGCGCCACCGCGCGCCAAACACATCCGCGTCCACAAGATGCGCACCGCTCTGCGCTGCAAACACCAGTGCATCCGCCCACGTCAGGCCCTTGCGTTGGAGGGAGACGGTGAGGTGCGACGAGCCTTCTGCGCCAGACACGGCGTAGTGGATGATGCCCTTGGGCATGTACATGGTGTCGCCGGCACGCAGCGTGAAGTTGGAGCAGCGCATGCCGCGCAGTGCCGTGTCCTCGTAGCGCGTGCACCCCTGCTGCCGCTGCTGCCTGATCTCCTGCAGCTGGCCCAGCTGCGCTGTTGTGAACTGCGCAATTGCTTGCAACTCGTGAACAGGGCGGTGCTCCAGGTTGTGCCGCTTCTCGTGCGCGCGCACGGCGCGTTCGTCCGTGACGTCCACGTCTGCCAGGTACCCATACGGGGTGCAGGTAGTCCAGCGCTTTGAGCCGTGGAGCTGAATCACGAGGACGTCGTAGGGGTCCGTGTGCGGCATGAGGGCGCGCGACTCGTTCTGCGTGGCGTGGTACAGGTGGACGGTGGACTCTGTGCCAAACACGTCGCGCACGCCGTCCTGCAGCTGCTTGACTGCGGTGTCGGCAGGGGAGCCGGGGAGGTCTTCATAGCGCACGAGCAAGCCCGCACCAGCAGCGAGCTCGTCTTCCATCTGCTCGCACGACAACACGGCCCGTGTCTCGCCTTGCTCTTTGATCTGTTGGGTGTTGGGGGTGGGGTGAGTGTGAGTGTGAGAGGAGAGGGGGGTGGGGAAGGAGAGGAGACGTTGCGAGATGCGTACAGTGGAAACAGGGACAGGGCAAACACACACACACACACACACACACACACACTCACACACACACACACACACACACACACACACAACAACAACAACACACACACACACACACACACACACACACACACACACACACACACACACACACACACAACAAACACAAGCACCCGCACAGGGGTACTGACCCGGAGTGCGGCAGGGTGGGCCTGGCGGTTGTCTTGCACACCCCATTGGCAGGTGGATTTGACGTCGGTGAGCGGGAGCAACCGATTGGCCAGGGTCTGGTTGTGCGTACCCACAAGCACTTCGCGCTGGTACCAGTTCTCAAAGAAGGTCGCTTCTTCAACACTCGCAAACAGGTCGGAGAAGCTGAGTGCCCGCACTCCTGCAGAGGAGGATACGGGCACAGCGTTGCTCTCACAGCAGCAGCAGACCACCAGCACCAACGCAACGCTTGTTGCCAGGACGCCCGCCGAACGAGTCATCACTGCCGCTGTGCTGTGTTGGTGATTTTGGTGTTGGTGTTGGTGTTCTTCGAACAACGCAACACACAACCGCGCAGTGGTGGTTGTCGTTGGGAAAGAATCAAAGCGGACACAGTGTCAGCCAAATGTAGGAATGAGGGGGAGGGGGGATGAGAGGGGATGAGAAGAAGGGAGACCTTGTTTGGCACAACAAGCAAGAGCCAGACGAAGGATGATGTGAGGTTGTGGCTGTGGCTGTGGTTGAGGTTGTGGCGCTGTGGCGCAGGACTTGCAAAGGAGAAGTGAATGGTGGCTTTGGGAAAAGGTGTGGCACAGAGAAAATTGACCAAAACACCCAATAACAATCGTCGATTAGCTTGGCTTGGCGTTGTATGTGCGTGTGTGTGTGTTTGTGGTGTTGTTGCTGTTTGCCAACCTCGCTTTCTCGCATCACATGTCCATCCCACCTTCGTATCACACTTCCAGCCCACCCCATATCTATGCATCTCACATCAGTCACATCAGGTGTTGTGGGTTCAATCATAAAAGTACACAGGGAACGACAGCAAAAGCCAAGAACAAGCCATGCCAGCGTGTGGGAGTGATGCGAACACACACACACACACACACACACACACACACACACGCACGCACACACACACACACACACACACACACACACACACACACACACACACACACACACACTGTGTGGAAGCTAGTTGCAAAGCTCTGCCCAGCATCTCTTGCTATCAGCGTGTCGTGGATAATTCGTGGATGTTTTATCTCAATTTTCTACACTGTGCAGCACCAGCAGCAAAACATGAGCGACGAGAAAGGCGACGCTGCCACTGCTCCCGCTGTTGTGGCGGAACGTGACGGCGAACCACAGCAACCGCAGCCGCAACAGGAGCAGGAACATGGAGGAGAGACGCGGGAGTCCACGGCCACGGACGCAAAGGATGAAGGGGAGAAGCCAGAGAATGGAGGAGGTGGCAAGGAAGAGAAAGAGGAGGAGCCCAAGAAGAACGGCGAGGAGGAGATTCCAGAGGGCGTCATCCCGGACCTGGAGGTCAGTGGGCGTGCGAACGTTCACCAATCGCGTATGCTTGTTTTGTGCTGTAACTTGACGACATGGCTACGTGCGTTGCGCCTGTACTGTCTACGGTGTGCGTGAGTATGATAGGCTTTCTTTGAGTGTCTCTCACCCAAGTGTTTTCGCTCTGTTCAGGCTTTGTACAGCGAGGAAGACGCTGCCCGTGAATTCTTCCTCACCAAGCAGGATCTGAAGAAGTTCAGGGTTCGTTACCGATCCTTTCGCAACTTCTCGGTGAGCGCATATAATGTACACACACGCATGTGTGAACGTGTGTGTGTGTGTGTGTGTGCGTGTGAATGTGTGAATGTGTGAATGTGTGAATGTGTGTGTGTGTGTGTGTGTGAATGTGTATGTGTGTGTGAGTGTGTGTGTGTGAACGTGTATGTGTGTGTGCGTGCTTGCGACTTGATCCTGTGCACTCGCCGTGCATGTCCACCTGAGCCCACGTTCAAGCATGTACATGCTCATGCAACTACATGCATGCAAAACCATACGCACATACATCCATAGGGCCCGTTCCCCATCCGCAAGTATGTGGGCGAGGACCTGCTTGAGCCCGCGTATGAGGTGCAGGGCGGCAAGGACAAGTTCATCGCCCGCCGGAAAAAACTGGCGCGCGTGTGGCGACCAGACCTGTCGAACCCGCCCAAGATCCGCTACTTTGTGCTGCGCGGCACGCGCGAGGCCCTCACTGCCAGCCGCGCCACCGGACAGTGGACAACCACACAGGTACACACACGCAAAGATGAAGACAGGTTCACCAATCCACATGCACACATGAAAACAGCTTCACACATCCACACCTATACACGTGTACACATCAGTGGATCATGTTCGTACAATGTCATATGTGCGTGTGATGACTCCACCCCCACCACTTGTTGTCAACATTGTTGTTGTTGTCGTGTTTGCACACGCACACGCACCCACCGCAGTTGTCGCGATGTGAGCACACACGAGCAGTGGGCGGTGCGCTTGTGGCTGCTGCCTCTCCCCAAGCAGAAGATCCACGACTGTATGACAAACACACGCGCGCGCACACAACACACACACACATATACAAACACAGAGCATGCACCTTGACTGGCACGCGCTTTGCCACAATGTATGGTTCTTCAGCCATTTCCGCTCATCGATGTGCACGCCTACGCGAATGTGTGTGTGTGTGTGTGTGTGTGTGTGTGTGTGTGTGTGTGCATTGATTACTGGCAGGCACAACTCGAACCTGTGCTCGCGCGCGCTTTCAAGGACAGCGAACGTGTCGAGTTTGTCTTTAGTCCTGTTGACACGCAATACTTTATGTGGTGAGGTGCACTCACAATCACGAAATTGTGTGCGTTTGTGTTCTCGTGTGTGTGTGTGTGTGTGTGTGTGTGTGTGTGTGTGTGTGTGTGTGTGTGTGTGTGTGTGCGTGTGTGTGTGTGCGTGTGTGTGTGTTCGCGTTTTGTTGGTTTACATTTGACACGGAGACAATCTCTGGAGCCTATGCCCCACTCACATACACACACACACACACACACACACACTCACACTCTCACACACATCCACACACACACACACACACACTCGCCTTGTCATTCCCCTGACACGACAATGTGCTGTGCTGTTCAGTGCGGGTCTGATGACGACACCACCGACGATTGCAGAGACGCCGTTCCCGCAGAAGGCCGTCTCCTTTGGCGTTTTCTGGCACCCGGACACCCGCCTCAGATTCACCACCATCAAGGTGCGAAGGGGCGTGTGTGTGTGTCTGTGTGTGTGTCTGTGTGTGTCTGTGTGTGCCTGTGTGTATCTGTGTGTGTGTCTGTGTGTCTGTGACGGTGAAAAACACGATAAAGTAAGTGCCTCAACAACACCCTTTTGTGACCCCACACCACCCACCATCTGTTACCGCCAGGCAACGCTGTTTGAGGACCAGGTGGACCTGTTTGCCGAGAACGGGCGCGAGCTTCCACCCGAGCTCGGTGCGCTCGCTGTCGCATCCATCTCCAAATGTGTTGCCCGCGATGAGGAGTGGGAGCGGAGACAGAAGGAGCGCAAGCAGCAGTTGGAAGAGCGGCGACACCACCACCACCGTGGCAGCCGTTCCCGTCGCAGCCACCACCACCACCGCCGCCGCTATGATGACGATCACGACGACTTTGACGATGATGCTGATGATCGCCGTCGCAGCCGTCACCGGCACCACCGCAGCCGGCGGAGCATCACCCCATCCCACCACCACCACCGCCGCGAAGACGAAGATGATGCTGATCGTGACCGTCGTCGTCATCGTCGTCGCAGTCGTAGTGCGTCACGTGCCGGCGGCAGTGATGCGGACGAACGGCCCGCAAGCGACGATGCGCGGGAACACCGGGAGGACCGGGAGGATAGGAGCTATCCTTCGGACGAGGAGGCCAGCGAGCGCCGGCACCGGCGCCGCCACAAGAAGAAGCACAAGAAGAAGCACAAGAAACGACGACACCGCGACCACGACGACAGCGATGGTGGGCGCAATGCCGGCAACGACGACGACAGGGACAGGCGTCATCGAGACAGTGGTGGTGGTGGTGATGATGGTGGTGATGATGGTGGTGGTGATGGTCGCCGGAGTGACGACGAGCGGAGTAGGCCAGAACAACGTGGCAGTGGTGATGGTGATGGTGACGAGAGGCAGATGGATGTTGCCACTGACACCGCCGTGTGATCCCCTCGTGTGTGTGTGTGTGTGTGTGTGTGTGTGTGTGTGTGTGTGTGTGTGTGTGTGTGTGTGTGTGTGTGTGTGTGTGTGTGTGTGTGTGTGTGTGAATTGCGTCTCGTGTCATGCGTGTGCGGCTTGGCCACTGACTTGGTGTTTGTAATCGTGTGCTGCTTTCACACGTTGGGCACTCGTTCGTTTATTCGTTTCCAAATAGACACGTAAACACATATACGCACGTGGGTACAGCAGAAAAGACAGGCAACTTGATTATTGATGTCCACATGCGAGTCATGTGTTAGGTGGGATTGCGGGCTGGCTGCTGCTCACGAGTGTGTGTGGACCTAACTGTGAAATCATGCTGAGCCGTCTGCCATGCGTGGATGCTGAGCCGTCTGCTTGCATGTATGGTGTGATGTCTGCTATGCGTTCGCCACGTTCCTGCTGGTCCTTCGCTTCCTTCTCCCAACACCACCACTGCCACCCTTGCCACCCCCACCCCCACTTTTCTTTCCACCATCACCACCACCATCACCATCACCACCAGCACCACCATCATCTGCGATCGCCATGTACTGGGCAATGGCAGTGAGGAGCTGGTCGCTCGTGTTGATGTCACGGCCGAGCCCGTGCGACAGCAACCGGCGCGCGTGGAGCTGTCATGGTGGTGACGGTCGTCGTGATCATGGCGTTGGTGGTGGTGGTGGTGAGGTGAAGGTCAGGAGGGAAGGTAGAGAGGGAAGAGAGTGCATTCGGGCACACTGTAGAGAATGAGGAGAGAAAGGCACTCACACACACTCTCATGTCACTCGCACATACGCATACGCATACACATACACGTGCATACACACACCTGAAGTTGTTCGAGGACGAGGGCGTTGTGTTGTGCTCGAAGTTGCGCAATCTGAATACTCTTCATCTTCTCCCGCACACGCGCCGTCATCGCTTGCTCGTGCCCAGCCAGCACGTCTGGTTGGTGATGGTGGTGTGGTGGTGAGTGTGTGTGTGTGTGTGAGTGTGTGTGTGTGCACTTCTGTTGACGCAATGTCTTGGGAAGAGAGTTGACACATGCCACGGAGTGTCAACATAACACACGTGTGAGCGCGTGTACCTTGCACTTGTTCACTGGTCAGCAATGCGTGCCATTCTTCCTCCTGTGGTGTGGTCACACATCATGCAGTGCTGTTGTGAGGTCGCAAGCATGATCAAACAACCAACGCATGCACACACATGACACACACGACACACACGACACACACACACACACACACACACACACACACACACACACACACACACACACACACACACACACACACACACACACACACACAACTACG